CCCCAAAACCCCAAAACCCCAAAACCCCAAAACCCCTCACATTATTTATTTTGCGTTCAGTTGAATAGAATTAATGAAATATAGTGAGAGCGGTATTGATATTAATCGAATATATATAGCTAACTTAATGTCAGGATTAATAGGTTATAATTTTAAACTAAACAAATCTTAAATATGCCATCACAACTTGGAAAATACACACTCATCAGAACCCTCGGTAGCGGAGCCAACTCAAAGGTCAAGCTCGGACTCGACAAAACAACCAACAGATACTTCGCAGTAAAAATCCTAAAGAAGGGTAACCCAAATCTCGATTCAAAGTTTTTGGAGCTTGTTATGACTGAAGTTCACACAATGAGTCAATTAAATCACCCAAACATTGTGAATCTTGTTGAATATGGAAAGGACGGAGTCGTCGAAAAGTCAACCGGAGTCAAAGAGCCAGTTATTTACATTGTCCTTGAACTCGCCACAGGAGGAGAATTATTCGACTACGTCGCTACTACCGGTAGATTCTCAGAGCCAATCGCCAGATTCTATTTCCATCAACTAATTGAAGGTCTTGAATATGTACATAATAAGGGTGTCGTCCACAGAGATCTAAAACCTGAAAACGTCTTATACGATCAATTCTTCAATCTTAAGATTGCCGATTTCGGTTTCGCTGCTCCACTCGAAGGAAGAGACGGATCAGGCTATTGTAAGACAAAATTAGGTACTGAGAGTTACATGGCTCCAGAAATTCATATGAGAAAGCCTTACAACGGCACCTCAGTCGATCTTTTCGCCTCAGCCATCATTCTATTTATTACCTTCACTCAACACCCACCCTTCACCAAGGCTGTTCCAGAGGATCCATTCTATAAGCTTCTCTGTGCAAACAGACCAGATCTTTTCTGGAAAGCTCACTCTAAAAACAAGCCAAACGGAGCTGATTTCTTCAGTGAAGAATTCAAAAATTTGATCACAGTGATGCTTCAATTCAATCCCACCCAAAGAATTTCACTTGCTGAGGTCAAGGCACACCCATGGTACAACGGACCAGTTGCTACTATTGAGGACATTCAATAGGAATTCGCCAATAGAAAGGGTAAAATCGATGCTGAAAATGAGGCAAAGAGACTTGCTAAGGAGCAAGAAAGAGCCAACAGAGCAACTGGTGGCTATGCTGCTCAAAGAAGAGTCTACAGAAAAGGTGTTGTCCAAAGATCTCATGAAACAGGAGACAGAGATGTCGATTTGGAGGAAGAGAGCAAGTGGCAAATTGAAGAGATAAAGAGAAACCTTGAGGAGTACAACCCAATCGTTAAGAAGACTACCGAGTTCTTCACTACCGAACTCCCAGATGATATTCTTGACGAATTAGTCGGGTACTTCGAGGAAAAAGGCTACAAACCAGAGGTAGCTAAGGATAAATATAAAATGAAGGTTCAAGTTCTCAAAGAGAAGGAAAACGAGCCAATTGTAGATCTAAGCATCTAAATAACCAAGGCTGCTGTAGATAAATATTGCGTTGAATTCCTCAGACTTGATGGAGATCAATTTGATTTCTTCAAGTAATACAACATTATTAAGGAAGAGCTAGACTTAGAGGACACCGTGTATTGAAAATCTATAATTACTCTTATTCAATCTATAATTTAATATTTAGTAATGTTTTCAAACCATTCTCTTTTTATCCAATTCTGTTCATACTTCTAGGGGTTTTGGGGTTTTGGGGTTTTGGGGTTTTGGGG